TTAAAAAAATTATTTCATATTTTTTAATGAAAGTGCATGAGATGATTATATAAATAAGATGATCTTTTTCGGGAATGGACTTTTATTCAGTTTTTGTCCTGATAACACTCCCGGAAGTTTGCTGAACACTTATGTGACCCCATGTTAACTGTAATGTTTTCAATTTTGTATACGTCGACAAAAGTAAGCTAAAAATGTCATTAAAAAGTATACGCTTAGAGGCAAATCTAATTTCAAATTAGAAAATCCCACACCAAAATTAGTCAAGATAAAGTATTTGTTTAAATGGTAGAAAAAATTAGTTCCCTAGTGTAATTCATTTAAAACTTCTTTCTTGAAAATATATTAAAATATTTTACACACAAAAATCTAAATACTTTTACAAAATAATTCTAACACTTTTTTAAATAAATATATACACTTCTGATCTTATTTTTTAAAAACCCGTTTCAATAATACCTTGAAAGTATTTGAAGAAAAAAATCTTTTATATTTAAAATTATTTATTCTTTGAAAAAAATCCTGTATAATTGTCATTTAACATTTGTTTTTCTTTCAGGCTAGTAAACGTCAGCGTAAAAGAAAGCGGGCAGATGAAAAAGAAAACGTAAGACATTATTTTTTAATTAATTAGTTAATTATTTTATAAAATCAACAACACATTCAATTGTTTCAGTTATATAGTTTATTTAGTTACATTAACTTTAATTTTAAAATAGTTTTGAATCTACTTGACAGTAATTAAAGTTTTCAAACAATGAATAGGATTGTTTATAAATTTTCTTAGTTTTATGAGAATGACCAGACATTTATTTGTACTTAAAAGTGTCTTTTCGTACTAAATTAGCACAACTCGTTCTCGAAAATAAATAGGCCTTTAGTACGAAATAGATGATGTTTTCCTTCTAAAAACAACTTTAACAACTTTTTTCTCGAATATTTTTATAAGGGAACTTGTAAATTTAATACTCAATTTTTATTACAAAAGTATTTTTTGTTCCCAAATTAATGGAGAAAGTAGAATCGAAAGAATAATTATGCATGTGCGCATACAAAATATTTAGTTATACATAAATTATTTATTCAATGTTATTAAATAAAAATTCATCAGGAAGTTTTCCATAAAAAAAGGAAAGAAAATCCGCAACGTTATAAACAATTAAAAAAAAAATCATAATTTTTATATATTCTTTTCTCTATTTCCATTTTTCCAGATAATCTGAATTTAGTCCAATTATACGTTTTGTTTACTACAATGCATATAACCACATAATTTCAACTACAAAATCAGCGCCAATATTTTTCAATCACCGCATTTCTCCATCTTAATAGTTAGGAAAATAAAATTTCGGTCTAATACTATTACTATATCAATATTTATTGTTAATTGATTATTACATTGAGATCACCCTTTTGAACCATTATGATTACTTTCTATCAATAAAAATTCAATAATTGAAAAAAAATTGAAAGTTTTTAATTTCCTTGTTTACAGAAAAGAAAAGAGAAAGAGTATACCAAAAGTTTTTTTTGTGTATGATCAAGTTAGAGAAAATAATTCTTTACTTTGAGTAATTCTGAAAATGAATAATGGATTTTTTTTTTAATTTTTAGGATTTTGAATCATATTTTGTGTCTATTTCCGAGCGGACAAAATTTCACAAAAGAAGTTGCCGAAAATGAGTAAGTTGATTTTATGTTTAATGTATTAATACTATTCTTTTTTTCTTCTTTTTTCATATTTTTTGTAATCAAGACATTTCATGCCAAACTATAAGCCATATAACTACTAATTAATAAATTATAAGCAAAATAAATTTTAAGACACATTTTACGTAAGAGCACTCTGAAAAATTACAAAATGTTAATTTTGAGAAGAATATATTTGAATAAAAAAAAAGCTATTTTAGAATAAAATATATTTGCAGATATCTAGTAATGAAAAAAATATGGAAGTGAGTCTTAAGTGACAATACACCATTTTTAAAATAAAAACTTAAAAAGTTATGAAACATAAATAATGCTGCATAATATTTTCTCTTAAGTCTTAAATTTAGTCAAACAGGTGAATGGTTAGGTGCCAATTGTACAAGCATATTCCTCTTGCACCAAATGCGTTGCTAGCCAACTCACACGTATATATTTGTGAGTAATTAAGTGTGTATAATGTCAAGTACGAAGACAGCAAAATGTTATCATCAAAGTTTTAAATAAATTACTGTTTTGCTCCCTTATTCTATGTACAATTCGTAAAATTAGTATCAGGACACCCAGAAAACCTTTGTTCCAGTGATTGAATTTTCGCGAAAAGCAATGTAAATGGATTAAAAGGTTCACATTAGTTACGCGAATTAAATTTGGTGAATAATTTGGTGAAGAAAATGAAATATAACACAAAAACGCTCTTGATCTTATTAAATATGCTTCTTTTTTGGTGAAATCCTTGGATTTTAGAACCGACAAAAATAAGGGGGGAGAGATCAGCAATTTGAAAATATATGGTCTTCTCACTAGTATGGCTAGGAGACTGATTGTTAACTTATCTTTTTGCTTATTTCACCATCTCTCTAGAATTAGTAATATGTTTTTCAAGTGTTTTCCACACGAACGTAAAATTTGTTTAACCAAAGACAATTGTACTGAAAAAATTAGGTCAAAAACTTATTGAATTCTTTAATGACAAAGTCGAAAATTTGAAAGAAGTTAGTCGAATTGTTCTCGAGAACTAAAACTTAAAGTACGCCCTCTAAATGAAGGTGAAATTCTCAAAATGTAATATTAATGTTAAGGGGTCCAAAAATTTGACCTGTCATCTGACCAAATTCCTTAAATCAAAATTGGACAAAAAAAAAGACTTTTTATTCAAATGAATTACATTTTTGGGGCTAATACTCTTAACTTTAAATATCGTAACGAATTACGTATTGATACTCGAAAATCTGAACAACACATTAAAAGCTGTATAATTTTCTTCTTTTTTATTTGTGCTATTTAATCCATGTTCTGTTCAACTCTTGTTTGATGCACGACGTTCTCAGTATCTTTTTCTGAGTATTTTAAAAAGGAAAAATTTCTTTTCTGTCTGCGCGAATTTTTTGCGCAAGACAATAATTAATATTTAATTACATAAATTACTTATATTAATTCAAATTAATTTTTGAAAGTAATTTAAAGGACTTTTCGAAATAGTTTAATTTATGTGCATCTATTTCAATCTGAGAATGGTGTCCATACCAAAACAGTATCTCGATTTATAAGATGGTCCTCCAATTAAATGTTAAAGGGTGGGAAAAAGTTTTTGTTCAAAAACTTTGTGCCAGATAAGTTTTTAAAATTCTTTTTCACAAAACTCACGTGTATAAAATATTGTTGATCACGCAAGATTTAAATATTTTTCTACATTATTTATTGCACAAATAAATTAAAACTTGTTCATAAAACCTCCCTAATTGTTGAAATAAACCGCTCTAAAAATAAAAATTGTATTTAATTTTTATTTCTAATTTTTTATTTGTTTATTTTTAGATTTTGATTGAGATCTTTTATGCGAGATCAGTAACAAAATACTTACATCATAGACACAAAAATGGAAAAAGAAGGATTAAGAAAGAAAAAGAAATTTCGATTTTTGGATTCAGTGAAAACACTATTTTGTTTTTTAATTTTGTGGACAAGATCTTTAGTGAACATGTTAGTGAATTATACACTAAGCAGTTTATTTGTAAATGATTATATGTTATTATTATTATCAAAATGGTTTCATTATTTCATTTTTAATATTTTTCATGCTCATCCTATTCAATGTTCAATTTAATCACAATTAGAGTGAGATGAAAACGACGAAAATTATCTGTCAATTTGAAGGAGTTTTGAAATTGATTTTAATAAAATTTTTTGTATTTTATTACTTGCCTTGCGTGTGTCATACTTTTTTTTCTTTTTTGTCTCACTTAGATTCAGATTTTTGTTAAAAATCCTTATAAATTTTATTTGAAATACTAAAAAATTGGCAAACGTAACAAATCTAAAACTCTCTAAAAATGGCGTGTTTAGATTTTCATTTTAGATACTCTGCATAATTATAGTTGTCAATTTAAGAATACAAACATCACCTTAGCATTTTATACAAGCATCTCCCTAGAATTTTAAATCCTATAAAACTTACTACGATCCAAACTTACTATAATTAAAGGGGGGAAATTAAAATTATCTTTTGCTTTAGTTGGGCTATTATTTTTAACTCTAATAATATTGTACTACTAGATTAGAATCTTGTTGATTCATTGTTGATAGAATTAAAATTTGATGCAATCTTTGATAGTAATTTGAACCATATTATTGTATTTCCAAAAATTGAATGTGATATTGTAGCTCACTTTAACAGAAACAATATCAAATAAATTTTATTGTATTTATATTTATATAATAAAATTTTTTTGATAATGTTTATTAAGCAGAATTGTGAACCTAGCTGTAAAATATCTACCTAGTTGGAGGCGCGATATAGCCAAGACTGGCTCTTGCGCCAAAAATCCAAACAAACAAACAATATATATATATATAT